TAACATGGGACTCCCAAGGATACTATCATTGGACTCCCAAAGCCTGCCTGGGACTCCCAGAGAGGCAGTTGAATATCTGTAGGACTTCCAAAGTCCCTCAAGATCTAACATGGGACTCCCAGGGATACTATCATTGGACTCCCAAAGCCTGCCTGGGACTCCCAGAGAGGCAGTTGAATATTCATAGGACTTCCAGAAGTCCCTCAAGATCTAACATGGGAGTCCCAAAGCATTTGCTCAGACATCCATGGAAAAAAGAGAACTGAGGGTGGACTCCCACAAATAGAAACAGGAAGTTCTAACATAATAAGTTGCAGACAACATCAGACTAACTATCAAAATCCTCCCCACGGAAAGCATCTGCAAGGTCAATAGCCTCAAGAGTATCAATCAAATCCTCATCGAGACTTTCTACATCTGACAAATTCAGTTCGTCGACCCCGATGGATGGTCTGAACTCCTCCATATCATCGTAGTCATCATACAAACGTGAGGTGACTTGGGCGATTCGAGCAGCTGTGATCTCGTCATCTGTTGGGCCCCAGGCTGGAATAACAGTGTCAGCAGGTAAGGATTGTAAGGACTTCTTCCATATCGACAGGACATGGAGAAGTTCATCCTTTCGTAATTGGAGTTGATAGCGTAACTCCAGTGAATCTAAAACATGATGAGAAGCTACACAAAGGGGTCAAATAGCAAAACGTACCAGTGTTATCATATGCGGAACAGGTGACATTCCACTCCTCTGAATACCAGATTTGTAGTATCTTATGTTCATGTTTAATGTGCTCTTCCTCTTCAATGCATCTATCAAGCTCTAATCGCGCACGAATTCCGGACCTTACAAGATCGTCGCAAAGCCACAGTGGTGGGTCGGTCGTGGCGCCATCAAGTGAATCTTCCAATCCAGCATCCTGCCAGATTTCGTCGTTAACGTCCAGAGCAAACAGACCCTTCATGACAATCTTCGACGGGCAGACTGAGCCCGGAGGCGCCTTGCACTGAGCTTTTAACTGTAGCATTACATCGCATAAGTTGTTGTAGTCACAAGTGAGTTTTTGGATGCTAGGGTCACGACGCTTCACGGAATCTTCGAGATGATGGTGAACTTTGCACTCTGTTTTGTGGTACTAAGTAAACGCGGGGTGCAGAATGTTGAAAAGACATACCGTTGACATGGTTGCGATATGATTGTTCGATACGGTCAAGTTCAAACTTCCAGGAGCACAGCCTTTCACACAAGCATAGCTTGAGGGCTCGGGTGTTCATCCTCGCTGCAATAAAAGGGCTTCCGAGCAGCTTCCCAAGCTTGGTTCTTTCGTGAACACCAAGCGCCGACTCAGAAGCGTGTACCCAAGACTCCGCAGAACTCAAAGCCTTCTTAGCTTCAGCTAGGCACAATTCTGCATCACAAAGATGATGGTCTGAAGCTAAAGGATCCAATATGATGTTTTCTTGGTCTTGGACATGCTTCCTCAGGATATCACGTGCTTTTCGAAGTCGGATGGCTTCAGAGACTGCATCTTTCCCCTGGTTTCTTGTCTGTCCTGGAAAAACTATTAACGCTTGAAGTTGCATGTTAACATTGAACGTACGTGGAAGAGGTTTGGTCTGAGCCTGTACCTGCGCAGACCATTCATCCCGGAGGACACATTCTGCGAGCACCACTTCAGCAAGGTGTCGCTTTTCTTGACAATGACGAGATCAGCAAAGCAACCAGAAAGCCAGGCGACCAAGGGTTTCCTTATCTGCTTGTTGAACCTGTCAATCGAGAGTGTAAACGCGTTGATGTGACTATACAAGATACTAATGAGATGATATATTTTCCCAGATTAATAAAGACTTACCTCACACACGCGTAGATAAGCAATTAATTTCTTGATAGAATTCCAAAACCGCTTGCAGCCTTCGCCGTCGGAGAGTCCAAATCTGTTGCACTTTCGAGGATGGTATATGATCTGACAAGGCCACTGATGTCCGAACACATGAAACACTGAAATAGCAAAGATCAAGCAGTGGAGGTATGCACTAAGAAAACCCCAGTTGACGCAGCTTTTATGTAGCTGACAGCCAACATCGTAAAGTAACCCGACTGTATAATGGAGGGGCAGGTGTTGAAACAGCGTCTCAACGAGCGCCAGAGCATAATGCTGCTTCTCGCTTGCAGATCGCATATTGACGACCCATATCACACAGTCATGGCGACAGAGAAGAGCCATCAGTGCGGTGACGGCAAAAAACTGTGTGCTAGTCTTTTCACATGTTTCATTTGTGGCTGTGAAGCTCTTCTCGCAGCCGGCTAAGACAGATCGTGGAACCTTCAGTGCACCATCATAGCCATCTTCTTTGTCCGAATCAGGGTGGTTCCTACTAGTATCAACAGGCTTTTGGCGCTTCGCACCCTTCTTAGCCTTGTTCGGACGAATGCCCTCAACATATCCTTCCATCTAGTTTCTGCGCAAGCGTGGGCTAAGTTCGTTGCGAAGCTTTATAATCAGGAGCTCAACTCTCTGGGAGAGAACCCTTCGCAGCAAGACATCCATGAGCATTTCAAGGAACAACTCAACTATTATCGCAGTGTTGTTGTGGCATTTTTGGAATCCAAGCGAGACAACGGAAAGTTCCCGCAGGTGATAAAGAAAGTGGTTGAGCCATTTATCAAATTAGTATGTTATTGCTCTCTTAACATCCTATCTCCCTCATACTAACACATGTTTTAGGCCACCCGAGCTTACGAGGAGACTGGGATTCAAGTCTTTGGATTTGCCATTGACGTCAATGCCAATTCAACTTCAAGCTTGGCTTGGGGCGGTAGCCATGAATACGCACCCCTAGCTGTAGTCATTGCCCTACTCACCCACATTATTGCACTTAATGCTTTGCCATTAACCATGCATTCAGGCCAGGGGTCTGCAGCATGCATTGGCACCTGGGTTTGGCCTAGGATTTGTTGGGGCAGGCTTTTGGTAAACATATCAATAGTCTCTTATTTCCCTTCAAACATATAAAAGTAGGCAAAACACAAAGTTCCCATGTTACATAAATATAATTCTTGCTTCTTTATGTCTAAATATATGTCAATAATGCACAGTTCAAATTCTGAGGAGATATATATGTCCTACAGCTTTGTTTCTCCTAGAAAGGACACCTGAAAGTTTACCAAATATCTATTTGATAATGTTCTGACACTCCTAAATATTTTCCCTCTGTCAAATCTGACCGGAAT